TCCATTCAATGGACAACCTCTAAGTGTTGCTAACGCCGGTGACTTGTTGCGCCTTTTGACAATATAGGCCGAAAAGTTGGAAAATCTGCTTGCATACCTGCAGGCACTTGACGGTTAAAGTTCCAAAATAGCTTACCTATTGAATGCCAGATTGAAGGGGCAGTGCAAAAATTCGTCCAAACTAACATCATCCCAGCCAAGATGTGGATCAAAACATAATGGTAACTCATCAGACGTGGGGGCCCGACCATTGCATATATGTCTGAATATAATACCTTCATATATATGCGATTATGTGATAGATAAAATGCCTCTTGATCATTACCTTGAAGCGATCCAAGTTGCGCCGCGATTTACATGACGATATTCAGAAATGAAACGAGCAACAGGTTCTCGGAGAAAGGTGGTATAAAAGTACCTTCGCACTCTTTTAGCACCTAAGAATGCGATGATGATTTAGTAAAATGAGAAATTAGGAAAGGCTTGCCTTCTTTTTTATTCAACATATTGTCCACACATCCGCTTACATATAATTCCGTGAAGTCCGCATGTAACCCGCACAGCCAACCGGTTGAGTACCGAGAGAACAGCCATACCTGTACCACAGAAAGGTTAGGGGTTTTGAGCCTATGGGGACAGCTACAACGATACAATGTAAGCTCGATCGTCCTCTTACGTCGAACTAAGATAACAAAATGCGACTTCGCCGTCAAAAGCAGGGGTATCAAGTGGAAACGAACAAAACTGCAAAACTGCAAAAATAATAAAAAAGAGTTAACCTCATCTGGTCTATCCGGTCGGCTGCATGTACATCTCTTCTTGCCTTTGATACACTGGCATGGGTGCTCTGTTTTAAGATGCCGGACGAGGAACTTCTCAAAGGACGTACCAGCGGTCTTCTGGATGTGGACAAAAACAAGAACATCATTGCCGGTAATCGAGAAACTGAAACGAAAAACCATGCCTTGCTTTAAGGATGTGTAAATAATATAAGTTACCCATTTTCCGGACTGCTCATTAGGTGCGTAAAAGAGGTATCCCATGATGATTCAGCTTCAAAAGATGTTCCATCTGCAGGACTATCCGAGATAACTGTAGTTTCGTTCCTGACATTACTGCGAGGTAGATCGCTGATAAAGTTATCGGAAGACCTGGTAATTTTCATGATTTTTGGCGCATCCAAAAAGGATGATTTACTCACGCAGAAGAAGTGTAATCCAAGTACTGATACTGATTTGATGATCCTGAACCAAAACATTAATAGGTAATTGCGACATTTTGATAATAACCAAGTCGTTACCGATGATTAGGTAGACGGCAGGAGCGGACAAAACAACAAATACAAAAATGACCAGCTTCCGGGTGAAGATGATACTGTTAACTCGATTATCCTGACGTCTCAACATCATCGATCAACGCAAAATTTCCGTCTGTTCATGTTGGCCTGCTATATCGTGAAGAAGCCTAAAATAGGGAAAAATAGAGTAAAAAAGTGATAACGCAACACATTTTCTTCCATCGACGCAGTACTCCAGTATAATTGTAAGGCGATGCACGCATTACAAATGTCAGTTTCAAAATAAAATTTCAACAAATAGATGTTTTAAGAATGTCAGTCAGGTATGCAGTACTCGTAAGGACGTCTAACTCGATCAACATGCGATGGAAAGGTTCAGTGAACTAGAGTTTGCAAATACAGAGTTTAACCATAGTTTGCATTATCAAAGAAGCGAACAGTAGAAGAATGTGGTCGCAAAATGGGGTCTTGAGACAGCCGACAGAAATCAGAAATTTGCACTCATGAAAATGTTGAAGACGATGGATAAAGTTTTACGAGTTTCTTGTGAAAGATTTCTGCTATTTTAGAGATGAACTGTCTTGCGGACCAAGAAAATTGAGCACGAGCATGCGAATTTTTACATATGCCTTGCTTTGCGACGCTCGCGTGTTGCTTCAAGATAACAGTTTATCTCATTCTCGATGACTTACTATGCATATTATAGGAGCTGAAGAACGGTACTGCACCACTTATTCTGATAACTGATGAAGTGCTTTTTGTGTCCATTTGAAAGTCTATTAGTAGTGCAAAACGTAAATGGAGTGGACGCACATTGCGTACATATGTGACCTTAAAGGTGAACAAACAGTAGTTGACGGTAAAAGTGCGGTTATGTTTCGGATGCAGTGAGTTTTTGATTAAGGACGAATATAGCAATATTCCTGATTTTAGGATGAGCATATGCATGCTGAACTCATTCGGATAGTGTGACCACGAGGTGTGAGATTGACCAAGGATGTTTGAAGGTCGGAGGACGGAGAGCGCGGGGGAGGCACTGCTTGGCCGACAATGCATTGACTGAATGCGCAAGCCGTGAGGCGTTGCGGACATAACCGCATCACCAGCTGCTGCTGCTGCTTCGCCGAACGTAAGATTAATGGCGTAGACGCGTCTGACTACGCTCATCTGTTCCATCACTCAGTCACCAGATGTCCAAAGCTGAAACATCAGAATTTGTTGACCTTTTATGGTGAAATCCGTCACGTAATTATTACGCAGATTGATCAGATGTGTTGGGTCTGTGAGCTGATTCTCTGCTTTCCATCC